ACAAGCTAATTTAGCTTTATTTTTTTTAGGTCCTATTATAACTTTAATTTTTTCACTTTTAGGTTACCTAGTTATACTATATAGGCCCGGTTTAGTATTAAGTAATTTTAATTTAGGTATATTATATATATTAGCCGTATCTTCTTTAGCTATATATAGTATATTATTAGCGGGATAATCCGCGAATAGTAAATATACTTTTTTAGGTTTACTTAGAAGTACTATACAACTAATTAGCTATAAATTAATATTAAGTTCTACTATATTACTTATTATAATATTAACAGGTAGTTTAAATCTTACTGTAAATATTAAGGCTTAAAGAGTTATATAATTTATAGTACCTTTATTTTCTATATTTATAATATTCTTTATTAGTTCTATAGTAGAAACTAATAGAGCTCCTTTTAATTTAGCTAAGGCTAAATCTAAACTAGTTAGTAGGTTTATAATAAAGTATACTGTAGTTATTTTTGTATTTTTCTTTTTAGCTAAATATACTAGTATTATTTTAATTTATATATTAACTAGTATCTTGTTTTTAGGTAGTTATTTATATATTACTATACCTTTATTTACTTTAGTATAATATATAGATTTTAAGTATTATATAAATAATTTATATAAGAAAAGTATATTCTTAGACCCTTTTATAGAAGGTTTATTATATAGTTTAACTTTAGGTATAAAAACCTATATAATAATTTTTGTATTTATTTAAGCTAGAGTTTTATTTTCTTATATACGTTTTAATTAATTAATATTCTTCTATTAAACGATATTACTACCTATCGTTATAGCTTTTGTTATATTAGTACCTTATATACTATATAGTTTTAAAATAATACCGGCAAATTCTTTTTTGTTATAACGGCCTTACATAGTACCTTTTATATCTTTAGCGTATAATAAAGCTATCCCTAGTACGTAGCTAAATTTAGGCTATATTATTATATAACTCTAGGCTATATTATAGTATAACGCTAGTATTAGTTAAAGTATTTATTAATAGCTTAAACTTTATTTTAATTATATATCTTTAACTAAGATTAATTAAATTAGCCCTTTTTAGATAACCCTCTTTATTAAGCTATTATTTACCCTTAAACGTCTCGTTCTATTTAGTAAGGTTAAATTATACCTATCTAGAGTAAAAAGTTGTTAAGACATTTTACTTATTAAATCTAGTTTTATCTAGTTATATCTAGCGTAATAGATATAGGCTACCGGGGGGGGGGCTATCTTCCTCTAATTAGTTTCTATTAAAGTCTAATAAGAAATCTACTTACCTTTATTTTAGTTAGTTAATAAAAAGAAAAAAAGAATAAAAAGAGAGAGGAATTCTAGTATTTATAGCGCGGATTACTAGTAGCTATAAGAATAGACTCTATTCGATTAGATCGAAATAGAAGGTAAAAGAATATATAAAAGTAAAGTTAGTAAAGGTAAAGTAGAAAAAGGTTAGGTTTAAAAATAATTATATTTTAAACTATAGAGAGAAAATAAAATCCGATAAATATACGTCGAATAAAGTATTATTTTAAGGGGGGACCGCTAATAGAATAACCTAGTAGTAAATACAGATACCGATAGGCTATAGATAGGAGAAGAGGGGTAATATAAGGGTTTAGACCCTAGAGGTAGAATACTAGCTATACGTACTAGTACTTACTAAGCGAGGGCCCTACCCTAATACACTATATAAAGCGCTACTACTAAGCGCTATACTCCTATATATAAAAGGCGGGCTCCGAGTAGAATTCTTCTCTCTTCTTTATTAAACTTATTTAATCCTATAAGTAAGCCCTTATATATATATAGCTTTCCTGTAATATAG